CTCTCTTTCTTTCTCTCTCTCTTTCTCTCTTTCTCTCTCTCTCTCTTTCTCTCTTTCTCTCTTTCTCTCTTTCTCTCTCCCTTTCTCTCTTTCTCTCTTTCTCCCTTTCTCTCTTTCTCTCTTTCTCTCCTTCTTTCTCTCCTTCTTTCTCTCTTTCTCTCTCTCTTTCTTTTCTCCTCATTGTGTAAGATACCATTCTAGATCTCACTACAGCATTAGTTGTGTGTCTAAAGCTTTAAAAGCTAGGTGTTTAGAAACCTAATCTCCAGAGCTTGTAAAGGTTTGGAGCTTTGCCAATCCTATGAGGAATGCTAGCAGAGCTCTGTGCTGATGGTGGCCATGAACTTCCCTTCTCAATGCCTGTGAAGTATCGCAGAATCTGGATTTCCCTTTTCACTGTCTCCAGAATTACATGAGCTAAGAAAGTTTTAAAATACTTTTCTTAAACACGTACTGGTTTTTCCAAGATCTGAGCTCACTTTACATTGAATGCTACCTGCAACAGCAAAAAGTAATGAAAATGCTTTAGTTTATTACCTCTATGTATTGTTATTTTCAGTTCATATAGACAGAATCACTGGGAATTGTGCCAATAATTAACAAGAAAGTTCTTTTTGTGAGCTTACTTGATCATGTATTGCCAGATACTCTTGGCATTGTAAAAACAGTGCAGACTCAGAATATAATGCAGACATAGTTTTCTGATTCAAGACCTTAAACTTGGATTAAATTTCCAAAACTGGGAACTCTTCTGAAGTGTTTGAAGCTGCTGTATTATTAATTTGACTGTATTAAGTTCACATTATCAGCTCATCCAATGGCACTTCAGACTTAGCTACTAAATAAAACTTCAAATCTGGGCACTACCATTATGCTTTTGTTAAGGAATTAATAGGTAGGTTCATTCATTGGGTCTTAATGATTTACTCAACCATCCAAAACAGATTTGAGTGGCTAGTGTACTTTTGTCACCATGAGTATAAAATTGTTCAAAAAGTGACCCTAAATCCGGAAGAAGAATCCAGAATTTCTGCTTGACCATACTAAATTTATTTCATTAACTTCAAATATATAGGAAGTACAGGAATACTGAACTTTAGAAAGCAGAGAAACATTTAGTTATGACTACATAAGAACCAAAATGCATTTTGTTCTATCTGCTTTTCCAGGTTTTTCTGCCTTGCATCTGATATAAACTATAAACACTGTATTGATTATTTGCATTTATATAAAGTGAAAGGGATATCAGTAAAATAGAGAATTTGAGATTGATAATGCTCAAATAATTATCAAATAATAGTAATAATAATTTTAAATTCAGATTGTAAAATTACACCTTCATTCTTGAATGGGGAAATTAGATTTCTAAAGTAAGTTATGATGGGTAGGGATTTCATATGTGATTATATTTGTCAAAAAAATTCTGCTTTTTTTCATAACATAAGAAAGGAAGTTTATATAGTCAAACTCTTGTTTGGCAAATACATAATCAAAATGAGCTCTACAGAAAATGTGTGTTAAATCCTTCAAATGTAATCTTCAATTCAGAGAGGTTTTTTTTGTTTTAAATTGAAAATCCCAGAAAAAGTCATCATTTGGTGAATCTGAGACAAAAGTACATCTTCTTAGATCACCCCATCATCTAAGCTGTTTAGTCTGTTTCATCTTATTATGCTTATTTTCCTGGCAAAATGTGA